GAGTGTGGGGGGGGGGGGGGTACTTGTGTAATTTAACTTCTTCTTGTTTCCTTTTCTGCTCCTTCATGTTGTTTCCTCCTCTCCCTCTCCCTCTCTCTCTTCTGCACCCTTCCTTCCTTCCTTCCCTTCCATCCCCTTCAGGTCTATATATATGTATGTATGTATTCTGCTCCACGCCCTCGCAGCATGAAACCTTCATCTCTCTCTCTCTCTCTCTCTTTGTCTCTCTCTTTGTCTCTCTTTCTTATTTTTGTTTGTTTGTTTGTTTGTTTGTTTTTGTTTTGATTTATTTTTGTTTTGTCTTCTCCCTCCCTCTCATTTTTCTGGTTGGCAAACGAATCATTTAAAGAATGGAGTTATTCATCGTCACCCATAGGCAAAGGTGCATTTTCAACAGCGCGTGCCTCCTCTTGTAAGGCTTGAAGTTGTTCCGCCGAAAGTGGTTGTACGTTAGGGTCAAGCAAAGGTGCTTCCACAAGTGTAAGATTTGGATCATTCGCCAATTTCTTTGCCAACCATAAAAATGGTTTCTCAAAGTTATAGTTAGATTTGGCAGAAATATCATAATACTGTAAACCTTTCTTTCGATGGAAAGTTATCATCTTCGCCTTTACTTGACGGTCTGCACAATCTACTTTATTACCTACCAATACGATAGGAATATTATCACATACACGTGTAATATCTCGATGCCAGTTTGGAACATTCTTATAAGTATTTCGACTGGTTACATCAAACATGATAATAGCACATTGACCCTCAATGTAATATCCATCACGTAAACCACCAAATTTCTCTTGTCCTGCTGTATCCCAGCAATTAAAACAAATTTTACCACGGTTTGTATGAAATGTCAACGGATGTACATCCACACCCACTGTCGCCACATATCGCTTTTCAAATTCCCCTGTTAAATGACGTTTTACAAATGTTGTTTTGCCTGTCCCACCGTCACCAACAAGGATAAGCTTAAAGGTAGCCACACAATCCGATGTCGATGGAACCTGCATTCCCACGCACGTAAATTCTTTTTGCTTTTTTTCTTTTTTTTCTTTTTTTTTTTTTTCCTTTTTCTTCTTTACTCCCTTTTTGATATTGTTGGCCGTTAATAGTCGTTTTGTTGTTTTTGTTGTTTTAGAAAAGAAAAGAAAAGAAAAGAAAAGAAATGGCGGCAATTCTCTCGCTTCAAATGCGGTCATATACACACAGATATAACTTGAAAGGCCAACGAGGCAAATGAGCCGCACCTCCCCCCCCCCCCCCCAGTCAACAGAAGCGGCATTGACAGGAACGACGACCAAAAAGGGAAAAAAAAAAAAAAAAAGGCCCACCCACCCACCCACTCTCCTCCTCCTCCTCCTGTGCAGCTGTTCCCTTCACCATATTTGCTGGAGGCTTTCTTTCCATTGTTGGCTTCCACTTCTCTCCTTCTCTCTATCTATCCATCTCGCAATGACACATAAATACACGCAAAGAGACATGTTTACATCACTCCCCCTTATCAGTCAACATTCATTTCATCTTCACCCTCCTTGTTTTGCTTTTTCTTTCTTGTGTGTGTGTGTGTGTGTGTGTGTGTGTGTGTGTCTTTGGAGTGGGAGAAAAGCCGATAAGAACAACACTGACGCACAGGACGGCAATGGTGGTGTTAGTGGTATTAGTAGTGGTAGTAGTGATGATGCAGACGATGATGATAAATGGAGTAGAGTGAATAAAACAAATGGGTTAGGGGAGATGCCACACATTGTATATTATTATTTACACCCGCCAATAATAATAATAAAAATAAAAATAAAAATAAAAAAAAGAGAAAACAACACTTCTGACAATATTTGTTTCTGACTTGACATCATCCCACATACACATTACACGCACATATACACACCTCTCAGAAACTTGCACATTTGTCGTGCCCTGCATTAATGCGAAAAACTCTATTCGTTTCCTTGTGCGTCTACCCCTAAAACTGCAGCTATCCCTGCTGTTGTTGGTGTTGGTGGTGGTGGTGGTATTTCTTTTTTTTTTTTTTTTTTATATTATTCCTTTCATTTCCACGCACAGATAAAAGTAAACACATCCATATGGCTTCAACATCAACGGGGTTGATTTCTACTGAAAACGACGCTCATATGCTGCTGGAGCCCTCAGAGTCATCACTATCCGTGCTGATGTCAGAGGTGTCGATGTCGGTGTCAGAGTCGCTGACGCTATCATCCCCTGTCAAGTCCGTCCCACTGTCCTCAATGGCATATTCACTCGTGTCCGCGCCGCGTGCAAGAGCGATGGCAGCATACCCTGACGAGGAGCTGGACGCTCCCAAACGTGACTTCCGCATGTCTGTAGACGACGGCTCCACCTCACGAAAATCCGGGTGAACGCCATCCGTGGTACCGCTATTGTTAATTCTGCTGTTCACTTCACCACCGCCATTGCGCCGCATCGCGACTTCAGCTGACGCCAAAGGCGAAGGTCTTGTGCGGCCAAGTGCAGCCTGCGGTCGCGGTGGATCCCCCGCACGAGAACTAGGACCGGAGTCACTCACACTGCTGCCCTCTTCCGCTGCGTTTCTTGCCCAGTCCTGTGCATGGGAGCCATGGACCCCCATGGACTCATCCCCCCCATCTTCAGTGATGTTGACGTTTCTATTGTGGTGAATTTTCTTTGCGAGAGTATGAAAATCTTCGTTTGCACGTACTCCACCACGTTTGTGTCCCGCCTCTCCGCGAATCGCACTCAGTTCCTCCTTCCGAAGACGCTCACGCATAACACGAAGTCTCGTCTCATGTTCTTCTAACACCGCGTCCTCTGCGGCGTTGAATTTGGCTAACTCATGCTCCAGGTATTCCAAGTTACGATACTGTTCAAGGTAGACAACAAACTGTGACTGTAGATCACCCTCATGTTTTTCATATTCCTCCATGAAAGCGGGGCGTACGGCCATCAGAGATTTCAACCGTTTCTGTGCCCGTTCTAATTGGGTTTTTTTACTCTCAATTTTTTGCTCCAATGTCGTCTCATCCGCACTAAGATTCATAATGGTAGTCTGCAGTTGCTCTATTTGCTTGCCAACATTGGCCAGGACGTCACGAAGACGTCGCTCAAATTCCCCCACTTCTGTCGCCCGTGATAAGACACGTTGCCGTTCACCTCGCTGTGATATCTCTTCCTCAATAAGAAAAAAAAGGGCACTGCCATCACTCGTGAGGTCACTGCAGAGCTGTTGTACACGTTTGGCATCCTGTACATTCTTTTGGGCCACCATTTGCTGCACACTGGTGTAATCAGCTTCCTCCGCCTCGGTTGCATTCATTGCCTTCTTAAGGACACTTGCCAATATCAACATCTCCTGTACAGCATTACCATCGGATTGATAAAGCTTTTTGATGTTAAGTTTAATCTGTCCCTTTGCCAAGGCAACTTCACATATTTGTTTAAAAAAAAAGATACGATCCCCTTCGCGCTCAATCTCATAGACAATCTCTGCCGATGGTTCATAACGCTTAATAAGCCAAAATAAACAGTCAGCCACTAGCTCCACATTGGGATTGCGGAAAGATTCCATGCTGATAAGATTAGGGTACCCCAGAAGACGCATCGTCTCCACAAATGAACGTAATTCCCGAAAAGACATGATGCAATCAGACGCTGAGCCCTACACAACAAAAAGATATAATTTTGAGTCCGTATGACCTCCCTTTTCTCTCTCTCTCTCTCTCTCTCTCTGTGTGTGTGTATGGAATGTGGAATGTATGATTCCTTCACTTCCTATCCCTGTCCTTCTCTCGTTTTTTACTTTCGGGCAGTCTGATTGACTCCAAAGAATAGAAACACTATATGTATATAGATAGGTATGTATCGTTGATGGACTTCTTGCCTTGGATTTCTTCTTTTTTTTTTTTTTTTTCCTTTTCCTCCTGACTTCCAAATTCAACTTTATAACGACCAAAATCTAAAAACTCTCGCCTCCCACTCCTGCAAGTGTCCTTCTCTACATGTGGCATGTATGGAAGCAAATAGCAGAGAAGCAAAGGCAACAAGAAAAAGGAAATAATAATAATAATAATAATAAGCACCACAAGAAAAAAAAAAAAAGAGAGAGAGAGAGAACAGTGAAAACAATACCGTCCCTGACCCCCCCCCCCCCACACACACACACACCCTCACTCACTTCCACCCCAACCCCCTTTATACTTTTTTGTTTTTTTTGTTGTTGTTGTTGTTTTTCAACCAAATTAAATCAAAAACTCTTGAACGAGGGGGTGCTGCTCCACTTCCTGTGCACGGCGCCTAATATCATCCCTTCCTTCCGTATCTGTGTATTCATCCTCCTTTTTCGCCTCGGAAACGGTAAAAGAGGCTTCGGCATTTTTCCGCTTTCCACCAGGCGAAAAAATTTCATCAAAGTCCAGATCCAACGATAAACCCATAGAAGCCTCGGTTTTCGCATTTTCCGTAGCCAACGTCCCATCCGACTCAATAAAATGTCGTTTATTCTTTTGGCCCATGACCTCCCTCGCCTCCTCGTCAAAGAAGCGTGAGACAAGCTGCTCACGGGGCGTCAGATCCTCGTCGCCGTAGCGTTCCAGTGTGTGATACAATGCATCCCATGTCATCTTCGCATCATTGCCAGCACGATGAGCTGGAAGTGTAGGCGGTATCTTCAGCCACTGCACAAGGTCCGCCAAAGCCCACGATGGTGGGTGCTTGTCCGGTGTGACGGGTCTTCGGCGGTGGGCGTCGCGTATGAAATGGAACGTGTCGCCAAAAACTAATGCAGTTGGAAGCTCCAAGCCGTGCGCCTCCAGTGTCCATTTGATTAGGGAGACATCGGCCAACTTCCCACCGTGACTCAACACAA